ATGGGAATGACTGGCCTAGTGGGAGGACAGGAGTCTAGTGGGAGTGACAGGGGTTCATTGGAGTGACAGGAGCCTAGTGGGAGTGACAGGAGTCTAGTGGGAGTGACAGGAGCCTAGTGGGAGTGACAGGAGTCTAGTGGGAGTGACAGGCCTCAGTGGGAGTGACACATACACTGAAAATAATTAATTTCAAAGTATAGGTATTGTTTAGCTCTGCCCGCCATCACTCCTCCCGCCTCACCACCCTCCCGCCTCACCCACTCCTCCGCCTCACACACCTCCACGCTCACACTCCTCCACGCCTCACACACCTCCACGCCTCACACACCTCCACGCCCTCACACACTCATCCACGCCTCACACACCTCCACGCTCACACACCCTCCTCCACGCCTCACACACTCTCCACGCGCCACACCTCCCTCCACGCCTCACACACTCCTCCACGCCTCACACACCCTCCACGCCTCACACACTCCTCCACGCCTCACACACCTCCACGCCTCACACACTCCTCCACGCGCCACACACACCTCCACACGCCTCACACACACTCCTCCACGCCTCCCACCCACTCCTCCCCGCCTCACACACCCTCCACGCCTCACACACCTCCACGCCTCACACACCCCTCCACGCCTCACACACCCTCCACGCCTCACACACACCTCCACGCCTCACACACTCCTCCACGCCTCCTCACACACCTCCACGCCTCACACACACCCTCCACGCCTCACACACTCCTCCCGCCTCACACACTCCTCCACCACACACCTCCACGCTCAACACCCTCCACGCCTCACACACCCCTTCCACACACACCCCTCCACGCCTCCCACACTCCTCCACGCACCACACACCTCCCTCCACGCGCCACACCATTATGGTCCAGCGTGTGTTTACTTTACGGGTTGTGAACTGTAGAGTCCGGTTGTTTGTTGATCCGAATGTGTGTGGATTTTATTGGTTTGAGGTCAGGTCAGGTCAGGTCAGGTTATTTCAGTTTAGGTTATGTTATGTTATACTATTTAGGTTAGGTTAGGTCAGGTTAGATTAGATTAGGTTAGGTTAGTTTCCTCCCACAAGCCATCGTTTACTACCTGGTGCACCGTCTTCCCACACACAGGTGATGGTAATGGGTTAATAGGTGTGGCCTTCACTTTACCGGGATATCCTGAACGGCCGCCAGTGTTATGCATCTTCACAGGCAGGATGTCCGCTGTCGTCTCTCTCTCTGTCTGTCTGTCTGTCTGTGTGCGTGGTTGTCTGTCTGTCTGTGTGCGTGGTTGTCTGTCTGTCTGTCCTAGCCGAGTTAAATTAAAAGTGGTTGCTAGGCCTTGCAATTATTGTTATTTCATTATTTTTCAATTATTGTTATTTATTATTATTATTATTAAATTTTGCTCCTGTACTTTAAATATTAATATAACTGACACATTAAATAACATCCCCTTATTATTTTCCTCGTGTAACTATCGCTGTTTAACGACCCAGTCAGACACCATTGTTAAAGCCATTAATACATGTTGGCCATAGTACAACAGGGGACTAGTTTATCTCGTACTCCCATAACAGTATTCCTGCGCGCCCTAATGTAAACACAGCACCAGCACTAGTTTATCTCGTACTCCCTATAACAGTATTCCTCCGCACCCTAATGTAAACACAGCACCAGCACTAGTTTATCTCGTACTCCCTATAACAGTATTCCTCCGCACCCTAATGTAAACACAGCACCAGCACTAGTTTATCTCGTACTCCCTATAACAGTATTCCTCCGCGCCCTAATGTAAACACAGCACCAGCACTAGTTTATCTCGTACTCCCTATAACAGTATTCCTCCGCACCCTAATGTAAACACAGCATCAGCCATGGACAATAAGGAGAGCCACCTATGTGTTTAACCTCTTGCAAATCTGTTGGTGCTACCGTGTCAACTGTAGTGAGTGTGTCTTTGTCCGTATCCCACCCAGGTGAGTTATTTGTCCCGGGTAAAGACATCTATTAGTCGCTATCAAATACGGTTGTGGCTTAGGGCGGGGTGTTTCATAGTCAAATAGTAACACCCGGTACTTGTCCATGCGCGCGTGAGGATAGTCCGTCTCTCTCTCTCTCTCTCTCTCTCTCTCTCTCTCTCTCTCTCTCTCTCTCTGGAGGTGGGTGTGTGTATGTATGTTGGTTTACAGGTGGTCATATACATTAATTACCTGGCCTCACTACTGACCCACACCTTCCCACTTTCACGTCACTCTGGAGGGCGATACGTTACGTCATTTTCAGTAAGATTCTGTCTCTGTCTGTCTGTCTGTCTATCTGTCTGTCTGTCTGTCTATCTGTCTGTCTGTCTGTCTCCATTGAGTATAAAACAAACATCAGATTATTATCCCACGTCATATATTTCATGTTAGAATTATCTTGATTATCTACATCAGCTTGGATTAGGTTAGGTTACGTTAGGTTTGGTTAGATTAGGCTGAGACCTAACCTAACTCCTTGGGGTAACTGTTTAATGATGTGATGATGGGAGCTATGGTGTGTGTGTGTGTGTGTGTCTGTGTGTGTGTGGATGGAATTTTGATATTTAATTCAACAAGTCATGGGAGGGTTATAGACCGTCGACTTGCTGAAATGGCCAATGAGAGAACGCCACGTCATCGGTGTCGAAGGAAGAAGAAGGAGGAGGAGGGGGAGGAAGAAGAAGAAAAAGGAGTAAAGGGGAGTAGAAGAAGGAAGAAGAGGAAGGACAAGGAGGAGTAGTAGGATGCGGAACCACCCCAACGTTACCATCCATCAAACGGACGGACGGACGGACAGACGGACTGACACGCCGCATAAGCCAAAACCAGTCCTGTGTGTGTGTGTGTGTGTGTGTGTGTGTGTGTGTGTGTGTGTGTGTGTGTCTGTGTGTGTGTGTGTGTGTGTGTCTATATAAGGAAACCAGATCATGATGTGAATTCTTCCTCTAAACTTGTATCTCTCCATTGAGTGTGTGTTGCAGTACCTCATACAGACAGACAGACAAAGATCTGAATACCTAACCTCTATATAACGGACTTCTCACTCCATATAATCCGTTAGATGGAGGGCTTCACATCTAACGGACCACCCTCGATATAACGGAATTTCCCTCCCTTGCTTATTTCACCAGATGGGTAGCTTTCATAATGCTGTACTTGGAGGGTTAGATTAGGTTTGGTTTGGTTAGGTTTGGTTTGGTTAGGTTTGGTTAGGTTTGGTTAGATTAGGTTTGGTTTGGTTAGGTTTGGTTAGGTTTGGTTAGATTAGGTTAGGTTAGATTAGGTTTGGTTAGATTAGGTTTGGTTTGGTTAGGTTTGGTTAGATTAGGTTTGGTTTGGTTAGATTAGGTTAGGTTTGGTTAGGTTTGGTTTGGTCAGGTTAGGTTAGGTTAGGTTAGGTTTGGAGACTCGTTCTGTCAGTTCCGAGACTCGTGCCAACACCTCGTAGACTCTTTCCAGTAGTTATGAGCCTCAGCCGTGTAAAGGAACTTGTGATCGTGACTGAACACAATGCTGTGGTGGTGACTGTAATGCCTTATATAAGACTTCTCGTGCGCTTCACCCAAATGATCACAATCAGTGGTTCAAGTAGCGGGTTCGGGTTCACAATGTTCGAGAGGGTTTGGGTTCGGGTTCATAGTGTTCTAGCTGGTTGGGTTCGGGTTCATAGTGTTCGAGTGAGATTGGGTTCGGGTTCATAGTGTTCGAGCAAGAGGTTCGATAGTATAGTAACAGCTGGTGATACCCCGAGTCATTATCGCCTCCAGTGTGTTGATTACAGGTATTGGTGACACGGGTTTTATTGATCATCCTTCCTCCACCACTACTGGTTTATTACAGGTTTTAAGAGGTTTAGTTTAGGTTAGGTTTTTGGCGGTTAGATTTTGGTTTAGTTACGTTAGTTTTGGTTTAATTTGGGGATAGGTTAGGTTTGATAGTGGTTAGATTAAAGTTTGGTTAGGTTAGGATTAGAGGAGGTTAGATTTTATGTTAGGTTTGGTTAGGTTTAGGTTAAGCTGAAGGTGGTATATTGCCTGCTGACTCTCTCTCTCTCTCTCTCTCTCTCTCTCTCTCTCTCTCTCTCTCTCCTTTTACCTCCTCCTCCCTCTCTCTCACCCTGTCCTCAATCCTTCCTCCATCCTTCTCTCAGTCTCTTCCTCCAGCTCTCTTTGTTCTCCTCCTCCTCCCTCCTCCCTCCCCATGGTATAAGGGATGACCCTCCACCTGCTCCACTCTTCCCCAATACTGCTTACACATTCCTCTCCCACTCTCTCTTTCCTCCACCGTTCCTTGCTCCCTCCCCCTCCTGAATAACCCTTGCTCCTCCTCCTCCTCCTCCTCCCTCCTCTCCTCCTCCTCCTCCTCCTCCTCCTCTCCTCCTCCTCCTCCTCCTACCTCCTACCTCCTCCTACTCTTCCTCCTGCTCCTCCTGCTCCACCGCCCCCCCACCCCTGCCCTTGGGTTAGCAGGAAGCAGTGACTCACTTCAGACGTCGTGAGTCCCCGGCTGACCTCTGGCTAGTGGAGGTGGTGAGGTGGAGGGGTTGGGGGGGTGTGGAAGAGAGTGGAGGGGGAGGAGAGTGGAGGGGGAGGAGAGTGGAGGGGGAGGAGAGGGGTAGTGGAGTGGAAGACTATCATTGTAGGAATGTACAGGAACATATAATAATAATAATAATAATAATAATAATAATAATAATAATAATAATAATAATAATAATAATAATAATAATAATAATAATAATAATAATAATAATAATAATAATAATAATAATAGTAATAATAATAATAATAATAATAATAATAATAATAATATAATAATATAATTTATAAATAATAATAATAATAATAATAATAATAATAATAATAATAATAATAATAATAATAATAATAATAATAATAATAATAATTTACCTGCCATATTTTCCATTCATCTATTCATAAGTTTTCATATTTATTTATTTATTTGTTTCCTCTTTACAGGTAAGACATCCAGGTGACAGACGAATATTTCATACGTATATCTCGACCATCTGCAGACCACGTGTAAGTCAGCTGATTAGGTCAACAAAGAGTCAACACTATTCAAAAATGAGGTAGTAGTAATAGTCGTAGTAGTAGTAGTAGTAGTAGTAATAGTCGTAGTAGTAGTAGTAGTAATAGTTGACGTAGAGTATTAACCATAGGTAAATTATATTAATATTACCAACCTTTTATTCACTCCCTGGTGATAATACTTAACCTAGAGTTTGGGGAGATGCTTCAGTCTAGCCTTAAGATAAATGTATGATGATGATGATGAGGTATAATGGTCAGTGCCTCCTTATAGAGATGATTGTTGTCAGATAAATGAGGATGGTTTAGAAATTTGTTGACTATCTCCCTTAATAGACTATCTCCCTTAATTGAGATTGTAAATAATTGAATAGTGTTAATGATTCAGAGAAAAGGTGTGTGTGTGCTTACCTGGGAATTGATAATTATAGTCATTAGTGATAAATGATCCTATACAGGTATTTTAAAAGGTAATCAAAGAGGATAAGGCGTATAATGATGGTAATTACCTTTGACACCTGAAGGAATATTATAAACTAAAGTTAATTGTTATAGTGTATAGTTATTAGTATTATGGTAATGTAGTCTACCCACACCTGTAGCTAATTACCTAATATTAATAATTATGTGTCGTTACAGGTATCGTCAGGTGGTATAATATGAAGATCAGAGTAGTTATATAATCTTAGCGGATTAATTATTAGTTGTTTTAGATATTAAACGAGTGAATATTATCATAGAATAATTAATTTGAGTATTTTCAGATGTAAATTTAATTAGTTAATGAAATACTTAGCCGAAATTATATCAGGGTTATGTTCAAAAGTTAATGTGTACTTGTAAACGAAGTGAGGAAACCGTAATTCAAGTGTAAAGTGTATTGTAGTGTAGTGTGGTGTAGTGTGGTATGGTGTAGTGTAGTGTAGTGTGGTGTAGTGTATTGTGGTGTGGTGTAGTGTAGTGTGGTGTGGTGTAGTGTAGTGTAGTGTGGTATGGTGTAGTGTGGTGTAGTGTATTGTGGTGTAGTGTAGTGCAGTTATAAGTGAAATGCATCTGGGACCATGATTGGAATTCTCGTATACAAACACCATACATCTGTCACCTCGTAAAGTAAATCTTAAGTTTTTACTAAGTGAGATGAGGAGTTTGTAGTGTGTGTGTTAAGTGTGGTTAAGTAGAGTATGTTGGGGTGTTAAGTAGGGTGTGTTAGGTGTGTTTGGAGTAGCAGGTGTGTGTGTGAGAGGTGGAGTAAAACTTAAATCGTGTTTGTTTCTTCCTTCCCCAGGTGCATGGGCATGTCTCTCTCTCTCTCTCTCTCTCTCTCTCTCTCTCTCTCTCTCTCTCTCTCTCTCTCTCATTGTTGGTGAGCGCCGCGGGGCAATGTCTGTACTGCTGTGTGTGTGTGTGTGTGTGTGTGCGTGTGCGTGCGTGCGTGCGTGCGTGCGTGCGTGCGTGCGTGCGTGCGTGCGTGCGTGCGTGTGTTCTTACTACCGCTGCTGTTACTGTGTTTTATTATTGTTGTAATTGGTCCTCCACCCTCCTCTTCCTCCTCCTCCTCCTCCTCCTCCTCCTCCTCTTCCCTCCTCTTCCCCTTCCCCTTCCCCTTCCTCCTCCTCCTCCTCCTCCTTCCCCTCCTGCATCTGCTACTGGTCTTAGTGTTTTACAGCTGATAATTCTATTAGTGTTATGGTGGTGGTGATGGTGAAGATGGTGATAGTGATGAAGATGGTGGTAGTGATGGTGAAGATGGTGATAGTGATGAAGATGGTGTGGTAGTGATGGTGAAGATCGTGATGATAGTGATAGTGATGGTGGCGATGGTGATGGTACCCCAGTGATGATGAGCAACTTCGGGATGATGAACAATTGGTAGTATGCGATTATATACCTGGAGGAGAAGGAGGAGGAATTAATTGAAATGAGAGACAGCGGTGACCACATCACACACACACTACTACTACTATCTACAAATAATAATTAATTCTAGCGACACTGATTGGCCACACCCATTTTATATAAAGTGTAATGGAATTTTTATAGCTACTTACACACATACACACACACACACCACACACACACACACACACACACACACACACACACACACACACCTGGCTTATTTATTATTAACTTATATATAAGAAAATTGGGTGGGATTTTTTTCGTATTATGGACTTTTCCTTTGATGCCCCGCACTATCCTGGCTCCTATATCTCTATTTTCAGTCATTGTCTGTCAGGTGTGATTAATTCCTCTGTTTCTTTGGGGTGTGTGTGGTAATGTGGACCTCTCCTCTCTCTCTCTCTCTCTCTCTCTCTCTCTCTCTCTCTCTCGTTAAGGTAAGCGTCTGAGTGTAACCTTGTCTCCTAACTAGTACACACACTTACGTAATTAACTCCTGTAATTATCCTGTTATTAAGGTCATTGGTATGACAGTGTTATCATATGGAGAGAACTCGAGGGATCAGAGGTCAAATTGCATCAAGAGGAAAGGTCAGAGGTCAAGACATAATGCATTGGGAGGACGGGTCGAGAGGTCAGGACAGGTGGATATTTTTATGAGTTGTGGTGTAAAATGTTGAGCAGGCGACCATGATGATGTTGAGAGAGAGAGAGAGAGAGAGAGAGAGAGAGAGAGAGAGAGAGAGAGAGAGAGAGAGACGAGGGGAGGACAGCTGTACGTTTATGTGATAAGAAAGATAGAGAGATAGAGAATGGTACAGCAAAAGAAAGGTTATAGATACATTAAGATAGAGAAAATAGAGTGAGAAAAAAAGAGAAAGTGGGAGAAAGCAGCTGTACCTACCGACACACAGTACCACCTTGCCGAGATGTGATGTGGAAGATAATGAATGGGTTCAGAGTCCACACATTTTGACCCCGGGTTCAGATTCCACACATTTTGACCCCCGGGTTCAGATTCCACACATTTTGACCCCGGGTTCAGATTCGACACATTTTGACCCCGGGTTCAGATTCCACACATATCGACCCTAAAAAAAAAAGTAATGTCAAGTCGAGTTTCTGGCTTTTATTTCTAACTTTTTTCTCCAGTAACTTTTTTTTTTGCCAACATTTCATTTTATCAATTGACGGAAGCTGTAGGAGTCATCTGAGTGACGGTGTTGGTGGTGACGGCTGACTGACGGACATCTTGGCGTCTTTTCAGTATTCATGGTCCATAACTTCCTTATTTGTTTACACATTCCTTTAACCACCTACACAGGCGCCATCTTCAATTCCAGCGGCAACTTCCTTTATGATCTCCCTATTCGTTCGCTTAATAGCCTATACTTGCTGAGTCACTCGTTAAAAAAATCAACAAAAACAACTTGTGTTTGACCCTTGACCTATAAAGTTTCGTTTCAGCTGAGTTTCACAAATTTCACACTAACTCTTTATTTCTTATTTTCTAGTGGCATTTATCAATTTATTTACATCAATTTATATTTAAGTATTTTTGTATTATATTCGAGTTGCTTATTGCATTGGTTATCGTTTTTTTTTTTCACTCAGTTATACTATTTGGAATTTGCTTTTTCTAGTGGCTAATAAAGTCGCCTTTCTGTTGGTTAATTCCTCCTCCCGATATCTTTTAACCTGACCTAACTTAATTTAACCTAACCTAACCTACCAACAAACACAATTCACGTTTTTTGCAATATTTACTGTGAAACGGAATTCATGTTCGTGTATGTGTGTGTGTGTGTGAGTATGTGTGTGTGTGTGTGTGTGTGAGTGTGTGAGTGTGTGTGTGTGTGTGTGTGTGTGTGTGTGTGTGTGTGTAAGTCTGAGGTGAACATTCCTGCAGTGTTGGCAGCGGTGATGTGAATACTGTGACACCTGACGACTAACGGGCCCCACAAACCAAAACCAACCAAACCAAACCAAACCAAACCAAACCCTAACCTACACCTTCTACCCAATAACCTAACCTCTCCCAACCCCCTAACCCACAACCTAACCCTAACATAACCTAACCCAACCCAACCTAACCCCTACACCCAACACAACTACCTAACCTACCCACCCAACCCAACTCCCAACCTAACCCTAACCTAACTTCAACCCAACCTCCCTACCTAACCCAACCTAACCCAACAACTTCTTCTACCTAACCTAACCTCAACTTCCTAACAACCTAACAACCCCTACCTAACCTAACCTCCTAACCTAACCTACCTCAACTTCTTCATCTAACCTAACCTATACTTATTCGGGTCGCCACCAACATCCTCTGACTGTAAACATTAAACACAACTCATTACAACTGGGAGTCCTACAGGTGTTTATAAATGAGGTGTTTCCCAGGTGTACTGTTTATATTTGTCTTCTATTGTTGGGTTGTTGTAGTGTGTGTCTGTCTACCTGTCTGTCTGTGTCTGTCTGTGTCTGTCTGTCTGTCTGTCTGTCTGTCTGTCTGTGTCTGTCTACCTGTCTGTCTGTGTCTGTCTGTCTGTCTGTGTCCTGTCTGTCTGTGTCTGTCTGTCTGTCTGTCTGTGTCTGTCTGTCTGTGTCTGTCTGTCTGTCTGTCTGTGTCTGTCTGTCTGTCTGTCGTCTGTCTGTCTGTCTGTCTGTCTGTGTCTGTCTACCTGTCTGTCTGTGTCTGTCCGTCTGTCTGTCTGTCTGTCTGTCGTGTCTGTCTGTCTGTCTGTGTCTGTCTGTGTCTGTCTGTCTGTGTCTGTCTGTCTTGTGTCTGTCTGTCTGTCTGTCTGTCCGTCAACTAACTTCTTCATCTCCTAATAGAGTCAGGGTGGTTGGGTTCGGATTACATTAGATAGATTTAGGTTAAGTTAGGTTAAGTCAGATCGATTAAGTAGGTTAGATAGGTTAGGTCAGGTCAGAAACGACCTCCAGCTATCGGTTCTTTTCTCGTGCGCATCGGATCCGTCTTGATGTCATGAACGCCGGCTAGTTGATGATAGTTCCCACAGTGAGGACAAGTTTGATGAGGCTGGTCCAGTCGGTGTGTCATGGGTCCCCTCCGAATCAACCTGTTTATGTCAGCACTTGTGGGGGAGAGAGTGTGGGGTGTGGGAGG